ATGTAGCCTAAACAGCCGTCTGGATCAGAATTTCTCCCTTTGATAAATATTTTTGCCCAAAATGCAATATGCAAGAACAATTTTCCCTAGGATCAGCATTTTCCTGGGTTGGGATCACGCATTTCGATTGGTGATGTGTATCTCTATCTCAGAGAAGCTGAAGCCTCTTTCAAACTCGGTCGAGTTGCCTTCTAGTTTTTGTGCTGACGACACCATAATCCAAGCCGCTGGTATTGCTTTGTGTCGTGTACAGGAGAGCGTATGACAGAGGACGAGCTGGCGCGGTGTCTGACCACCCTGCTGGGCAGGCGTCCTGGGGGAGGAGGGCCTGAACCGGACACCTACGATCCCTCAGGTACAGGATTAGCATTCCACACAGCACAGAAGCAGGATCGCTTCAGTTCCCAAACAGAATAATTTAAATTGCAAACCCATTACCCTGTTAGGCCAAGAGCTGTCGAAAACGCTGAGGCAGGATTGCAAAAATAGTCCCAGAGCTATAGATTGTCCTCATCCACGCAGCAATCGCACGGGTGTGCCTAAAAATAAATGAACAATGAAATATAACTGGGACCTGACAAGATTACATTGCTGTTTATCTGCTGGCTTGGAACTGAAATTAGAAAGGCGCAGCGGAAGGCTTACACGCCAAAGTCCACAGGCAAAAAGGAATCCTACAATATGCAAATTACAGTGTTGATTTCATCCAGGCGGCAATGCCCATTGGAACGGAGCTGTTGATAACTGCCGCGTTTGTCTACAATTTATGTCCCAGTCTACACCAGTCTAGAACAGCAAATTACAGCGTTGATTTCAGCCAAGTGGCGTTGCCCATTGTAGTTGGAACTGTTGGGAAATGCCACATTTTTGTACAAAAATTGTTGGTAACTACTGCATTTGTCTACAACTCATGTCCCAGTCCATGCCAGTCCAGAACAGCACCTGGTCAGGGCCGTCGGGAGCGCAGCAAAGGTGCCGCTCCTGAAGGGAACTGCCTAGAGCCACAAACCGGCGTTGAAACGCCCGGATTCCTTGGGGTCCTAAAATAATGTCAAATCAACAGAGTGCAAAAGTTGCATTTGGCCCCTTGTCACTTCTGAGGTAGGGATCTACTGCAAGGAGAGACTCACAGCCTCGATCCCTGATATGAACACATAAAGTATTAAACCAGTAAACCAATACTTTTTCATGATTACTTTGTACATCTTTAAAAGCATTCCCATCTACTTACTGCTGCTTATAAATTTTACTGATCTGAAAAGCTATTTTTACATCGCTATTGTGTGTTCTGTGTTGTCATTACTGCTCTCCAGGTGCAGCAGCTTTGACCGAAGAAATTCCAGAGGAAATCACAGCAGAGATATTTGCTGCTGACATTCTTGGCTTACCTATTGCTGAACCAGAAAAAAAGAACAGAAAAAAAGAGATCAATCTTTGACCTACAAAGACTCAAAATCACAAAGTTCTCTGCTTGTTCCTACTTTCCAGTCTCCTCAAATATCTTCAAAATTTTTTTTTTCTGTTTATTAAAAAGTCATACAGTTCCGTGTTGATCAAACTCCTAGAATGAGCTCCCAGTTTAGCACGTACCACAAACCTATGGGATCAAACCTAAGTATGGAAACACTGGGTTGGCTGTAAACAACAAAGCAGCAGCTGCCACGCTGTCTTCTTGCATTAACCACCCCAGCCCTTGGCTAGAACCTTCCTAGAATTCATTTCAGGTGGGTTTATGCCAGATGCAGTCTATTTTCATTACGTTGAGACAGTATTTATTTGTGAAACCTGACAGCAAAAGAGCAATGTAAAAGTATTGTTGTATTGATTAAACACACTGATAAATGTAGTGTACAAAATGCTTGGATAGGTTAGAACGGATTTGTAATTATAAATCCAACGGACCTCAGTAAAGAAAGGAATGCCGTGATGTACATTAAAACCAGGTTTCCATGTTGGCCTTTAAAACTGACTTTTCCTTTCTGGAAGTAGCAGTTCCAATTAGTAGTGTAATACCAACGGGACGGCCTCTTACTGTGTTTGTATAAACAGCGTAATGAGGCTGATATAAGTTGCTGTAGAAAGATCAGTGAAGTGCTGTTGAACACGCTTCCTCCTTTACATCATCCTCAGCATCAATTTGAATAATAATGTAGGCCCTTAAGAAGCGTTCCTTTCAGAGGCGATGTTTTTTAAACAGAGATCGCTGTTACGTGCTCTGGAAGTGTCTGGGATTGTACAATTAGCACAAACAGCGCGGTGTGCACGAGATGTGAGTTAACGAAGGAGTCCGGCAGCACCACGACCGGGGGATGTGACCGGAGAAATTTTCTGATGAGCATCGCTTTGCATGTAGCTCTCTGCCCATTCATTCATACATACACGTGCTTCCAAAAATCTGTGTCGGAGCAGATCCTCCGCTACTTGAAACCAGCCCGATTCCATGTGAATTACTGGAATTATTTTAAGCAGCTAAGAAACTTTAGAAGCACAGCAAAAAAAATATAACAAAATCGGCATCTTACGGATTTATTATGTATCCTGTTTAACAAGGCAGATGTTTTCCTTAACGGGAAGCACTGCCCATCCCCAAGCTCAGGGTCTGCAGTACCGTCCCAGCGACGTGCGCAAGGACGGGACGGGACTGTCACGCGGGAGCCCGGGAGAGGGGCTCTG